AGCCAGAGAGCCCCGGGGGGAGGCAGCAAGCAGCCGCAGGCCCCAGGCAGCATCTCCAGCCCCGGTCCTGCAATGACAAAAGCAAGGCCCTCTCGTCCTGCGTGAGCCACCTCCTCCAGAGCCAGAGCAGGGCAGGACGCTCCCTCCTCTTCCTAAAACTTGACCGTGTTCAGATGAAGTTATCAGCAAGGTAGGGTCTGGCTTCAGCTTTCCTGCTGGCCCCACTACACGCACCTCAAAGAGCCTCCTACATCCCCAAACACCACCGGCCCCGGCTCACAAAGCCACGCAGACAAAGCACTGCCACTACGCCGAGATCTGCATGGGGCCAGGGAGAAGGACAAGCCACAAACGATGACATTGTTCTTTCGGCTGGGGTGAAAGAGCAGAGTGAAACCTCCCCCAGGGTTTCAGCAAGCCACCTGGCAAGTGTCATCTCTCCAACTTGCTCACCGCAGTCTCCCAGCAGGAAGGGTGAGAACGGCCAGCTTCCCCACGGGACACACAGGGAACGGAGCCCTGCTTTCCCTGGATGCTCCCACCCAGGAGCTGTGCCTAGGTGAACAGTACTTCAAGAGATTCAGGCATTTAACACAACTTTTTTTAAAAGGTACAAATCTTTTAATAAAATTCATAAGTTACACTTTCCCAGAGAACAGGCTCCAGTGTATAAAGTGGGAGACAGGCTGGGAGGAGCAGGGGAAGTACCAACAGGAACCTCTTTCCCCACAGGAAAGAAGAAAGAAGGACAGAAAGGTTCCCGACAGACATTTATTGGGGGAAAAAACCAAACCAACAACCAAAACAACCAAACCAACAACCAAAACAACCTGCAAACAGTGGTCCAGCAGATGTAAAAAGACATTAGTCCATGTCCCTCTGTTCTTCCACCCTCTCACATCCTTATCCCCCAGGCAAACACATACAACAAGGCCTGTTTAGGTCACATATTTTAACAGATCCACGTAAACCTCAGTTTTCAATAAGAGTTGAAGATATGCGTCTTCTGTGGCCCAGGGTGCCAGCAGGGATTTTTGAGAAGCCAAGAGACAGCCTCTGCTCAATACAGGTCCTTGAGACTGCACCGGCCACATGTCCTGGCTCATGTTTGATGAAGCAAGCCAAAGGGGCTGGCCAGCCAGCCCCAGCCCAGAGAGCCAAGCGACAAGAGCCAACAGCACAGGTGGGTGCAGGAGGGGTGACTGCAGGCTCAGAGCCCTCCTGTCAGGGAAAGGCCAGCACACAGAGACAGAGCGGCTGAGAGTTTGACACCGAGATGAAGAGCTGAAATGAAGCTGCTTCCCCACAGGGGCTTTGCGGGGTCCCCCGCCAGCCAGGTGCCCTCACACAGCACAGACGTCTCTTCACTCCGGTCCCTCCCTTCAGCCCATAAGGCACCAGGGCTGGGCAGGCGACCAACCAGCGAGATTCCACTTCCCCGCTGTGCTGTGGAAGGGGAAAGATGGACACATAGAGAGGTGAAATCCAGCTGGACCAAGAGCAGAGGGGAGCTTGGCCACCTGTGTTTGCATGTGAGGAGGTGGTGTCTGTCACTCCAGGGCAGCCATGAGGAGACGCAGTTCCCGAAAGGCACTACCATGGCGACCTCTGAGCTCAGATTTGTTCTTGACGACGTTGCTGATGTTTTTCAGTTGATCGTAGCACAGCTTGCATTTCTGGAGCCTAAAAATAATTTAAAAAAAAAAAAAAAAAACAACAAACGCACAAAACCCAGGCAGACAGCAGACACAGCATGAATCCTCAGCTACTTAAGAGACGTGCTTGTTCCTGTCGGGCCAAAGATGCAACTCCAGCAGGAGAGAAAACAGAAGCTCTGCAAACGGCTTGGAAGAGGCTGAAATGTGAGCACGGCTCTTTAGAACCACCATGTATCCAGCCCACGTCCCACAGGCAAATGGCATCCACATAAGGGAAAAAAACCCTCCTCTTTTCCCCTTTGGCAATAAAGTCCGGGGAGGAAGGAGGTGCTGTTTTCAGAGGGCCAGTTCTCAGAGCAGAGCTATCCTGTAAACAAACTGGAAATCCAGGGCCCAGCTGACAACTCATGTGACTTGTGAGGTAGAGGGTGCCTCACCACAGAGTGGTTTTACTCCTGACATACTCACATTTTGTTTAGTTATGACTCAATACACAGTGACAGAGGGCAAAGCAGGCCTTGGCCTTTTCCTCAGAGCAGGAGGGTTTGGGGTTTGCAGACAAAAGGGAAGGCATGCCCAGTCTAGTATCAAAGCCTTGATGCTGAGGAGCAAAGCTCACCCAAGAGAAAGGCTGGTTCAAAAAGGGAGCAAGCGGAGGTGAGCAAGGGCCTCACCTCTCCTCTCTGGTGATGTCCACTCCGACAGAAGGTGGTGCAGCGAGGATGTCTGTGATCAGAGGCAGGAATCTCTGGAGAATGAGTTTCAGGGAGGTGCATCCAGTCTGCATGTAACTGAAAAACAAAGAGAGAATCAGGTCCCACTTGAATTTCATTCCTGTTGTCCCAGCACACAGCCCTCACTCACATCCCGTCACTGTGGATAATCTACTCAAACAAGCCCCCCTCCACCACCTGTAACCCCGTAAGGGGAGCAACAGCCAAGTACCAACACGCTTTGGTTTGAGTCAAGACTGACAAAGCGAGACCTTTCGAAAGGTCCTGGCATATACCCTGCCAAGTGGGACCTTTCTGCTCAAGAGCAGAGATGTCCTGCTGAGGGGACTTGGCAGGAGCCTCTCTCCTGCTAGGAAAGAAGGGCAGAAACTCCTTCTTAAGAGAGAGGCTGCATTTTTGCCACCTAATGACAAGTTTCAAAGAAATCTTCCAAGTGACCCCAAGGCCGTTGCAGGACTCCATTCCCCTTGTCCCAAGTCAACAGTTTCACTCCCATCAACAGCCCGTTCGTTTTACATCGATTTGACCCCTCCTGGCTGCCAGAGCTGCCTTCAATCCAACACACCTACGCCAAATCTCAGTATCCTGCTCTTCCTGCCCATGCATACTTTCCGTATCTTTCCCCCCACACACACTTGGCAACTCCATTGCTCTTTTCCAGGCGTTGTATCAGCTTTATACTGTACCTTCTGTGATTTTTCAGGATTTTCTTCCAGTTACAAAATACCCAGTGGACTTCTCCTATGAATATCCACATCTCGTCCCCCAAGCACACCATGTTCTTAGAGCCTCACCTTTCGTATTTACTTTGGAGTAGTTTCTCTATCTGTGGCAGGACTATAGGACACAAATCCAGCTTCCAGAGAGGCCTGAAAAGAAGAGGACACATTCTGAGACCACTTTACAAGGCTGATATGAAATAATGCTTTCTGGCAAAAAAAAGCACGCAAGTTTACTGAGCGAGTTCGCCCACTCCCCCTTGTGACACAAAGTGACAGGTTCCGACCCATTTATCGAGACTCAGCAGGATCACTCCGTGAAGCCCTAAGGCTTCGCTCTTCCTTGAGAGACATAATTTGACTACCGAAAAGGCCCCATACGACTGGCACTGCAGACTCGAAGATGTGACTACAAGCACGCACATTTCACGCTGCCGTGGCCCACTGGACACGAGGCAGGTACAATGCAGCACTCCCGATGCCCAGCCAGATGGCTCTCAAGTATTCCAGGGGCTGCCCCCAGCCCCCAGGACTCACACTTTTTGGTTGAGAATATTCAAGACGTCCACAACAACAGACAGATCGTTGAACGCCACCGCAGAGTCCAGAGCTTTCTGTGAGAGAAGGGGAAGAAGTAGTCATCTATCGCAAAGCTCAAACTGGCCAGGCTGATGCAATTAATATCAAGTGCCACTTTTCAAAAGCAAGGTAGAGGAAACGTGGAGTTGGCTAGAGAAGAGAAGATACTTCTCGCTTGAGAAAGTTTTTGCCACGTTTCTTTGTGACCATTCAACTGCAGGTGGGACATGGCAGCACTCTGCTGTGTACCCCTGGGGCCATAAGCTGTGAGAGCCTGCATTTTGTGCAAGAGGCAGAATTGGCCCCAGACAAGCCAAAAGAGCTGCGCAGCTGCTCCCCTTGGGAGCCTCACGTATCTCCACATCCTTGCCTTGATGTCACCGGTGTTCCATATAACCCGCAGGGTCTCCAGATTCTTGTGGCGCCTGGCGAGCACCGCACACATGGTCTCGTGGCCTTTCCTGATCTGGGAGATGGCTTCCTCATCCGTGAGCTCGGTCTGGCTTTGGTTTTTCACAGCCTGGAAGTACAGACACCAATGGAGCAGCAATAACAGAGCGGGATGGCACAGAAGGGTAGGAACTTTCTCTGGCCTGGGTTACAGCTGATTTTGGTGTATAGAGTGCCAGTAAATCCTGACTTCCTTGCAAATTGTTTGAAAAACATTTTCAAATGGAAATGCTTCATTTGTTCTGATTTCAGTTGCTTCTCTTCTGCCTTTTCTACTATATCAACCACAAATACGTTCGGAGCTTTGGAAAAACTCTCAAAATTAAAAGTAAGTTTTCAAAACCAATATGTTTTGATGAAGAAATGTTTTCATGCAAACCCTGTTTTTGATGTGAAACATTCATCTGAAATCAGCAAGTTTTATTACAAAGTTTAAGTCTTACACAATTTATTAGACTCTCAGTTTGATTCCTGCCCAAGACACGCTGGAACCACTGCTTCCTTTGCTCACATTTAGAGTCTGGGATCATCAGGACGCTCCGGTCCTTCTCCCTTTTTGGGACAGGGAATACCCTTCCTCAAGAGAGGTCAAGAGGCTTCCAAGATACAAGAGGCAAAGATTCCTGTGAATAATTATGTATGTGTAATGGCAGACGCTAATGTTCCAAACGAATCACTGTCTAGCATGTGGAATTGTTCAGTGTCTCCATCTCAGCCCTGGCTCTCTGCTTTGAGAACACATTCTTCAGGAGCACGGATCAACGCTGCTGTGTTTGCATCAGCCTGCTGTCAATTGCAATGGGGTCCAGCAACCCCGAGGTGCTAATTCCACAGGAACCGCAAGTCAAAGCAGTTGGGAGGCAGGAGAGAAAGCTGGCGGGGGAAGCCCCGAGGGAGAGCAGGAGGTAACATGTTCTCATTCAGTACTGAGGACTGCAGGCTGCAGAAAGCACCTCTGCACCTCGGAGAACCCCCTTTCTGATGCCACCCAACACAGACACCGGCTGGAAACTTTTGTCCAGGGATACTTACTGGTAGAAAGTCAGAGGCCTTCAGGCCAATGGGCTCATTCCTGGCTGCAGGAATCACCGACGGCTCTGCTCTGGTCGAAGGAGTTGAGGAGGCAATCGGTGGCCTCTGAACCGGATCAGGCTGCAGTAGAAATTGGGATAAAAGCTCTAGCAGCAACAGTCTGGCCCTAGTCCCATGTCCTTTTTTCCCCCCGACCTGCTTTCCTCTCGCAGTAGATTCCTAACGCAGAAGCAGTCTCCAATTTGCTAGCATAGTTTAAGAGGCAATAAAGTATCTCTCAGGTACACGTCAAGACATAATTAAGGTTTTCAAAGAACACGGAGATGCCCCAGCAGAAGTGCCAAGCTCTGTCGTTGTTATCAGCATCTAAAATGAGGGCAATGGGCCAGGGCCAGCCTGAAGGCTGAGAGAATTCTAAAGAAGCCAGTATAACGTATCCTGGCCCATCGGCTGCTTGCAATTTTGGTGACAAACTAGCCAAAATTGCAGAGATCTGGCACTTGGTTCTCTTCAGAGCACCCCAATTTTGAGATGCAAGGAGAAACACCACCGCAAGTCCGAGAAGCAAACCAAAGCAATAGAGCCATCACCTGTTGGAGGCTTGGCCTTCGATGCTACTGCTCAGGCAAGACACATGGCAGGACAGAGACTGGAGCTGTACTTTTACTGCTCTTCAGTAAAGGCATCAGCTTGATTAGAAATCATAAAGTCTCCAGCACTCTCATGTCTTTCACAGTGGGGGCGTGAACAGCTATTAACAGATCATACAGTACATACAGGTTCTTGCTTTGGCAACAGGCTCTGGACATCCTCAGCTTGGCTGGGTTTCACTGCTTCCTTTGCAGTTACGGGCTCTACCAAGACAGAGAGAAGTAGGAAAGCAGAAACTGATTGTTTCTTTCAAGAGAAGTTGAGAGCAAAGGTTCTGTACAGTTAGACTACAAGTAGTTGTTTCTGCAGACACCTAGCTCTCCCTCTTTTGGGGGCCATTAACCCCATTCCCACCAAGGGGTCATTTTCATACTCACCATCCTCAGGAGGTGCGGGAAAGGGCTCATTATTTTGAGGACAAGTTCGACCTACAAAAAGAGAGAAAAAAATAAATAAAGGAAGGAGCATCCAAGGCTACAGACTAGCGATAAGTCAGCCTTGGAGCTGGGAGATCAACAGCTCCACAGATTAGGGTAATCAGCGATGTGGCAAGCAGAGTTACCTCCTTCAGACCCTGACACTATTGTTGAGTTTAGCCAAAGGCTTTCAGCCTTCAGCGATGGCAGGGACAAAACTGACCCATGTAGTTCATTGTGGCTGTAGGAGTGTGAAGGACAAGAAAAGGTACTGTCACAACAAGTTGTATTAGAAAAAATTCACCTCCCACTAAATTGATTTACATAAGTAAATCAAAATAATGACTACTCCTTAGAAAGAGTATCTAGTTTTTCTCATTTACATAAAAATGAGATATAGGCATTACACTATGCCTCCTGAAGAACAAACTCTGCTTTAACAAAACATTTTGCCTTTCCTTCTTTAACGGAGGCTGCCGGTTTTATACGTATCAAAATTCTAAGCTAATAAAGATCCCGTAACACAGTAGTCCTTCCTACTCAGGACAGGAAGGCAGCATGCTTGCAATGGAGCTCTGGATTCTGAGCCAGGCTTCGATCAGATAGCACTGCGCCCTAGTAAAGGTGCCGCCTTCCAGCAGTTCGTCAACATGATCTGTCATTCAGTGTCCCAAGCACAGAATATTAAAGAAAAGTTTTCTAAACTCTCCCAGTCACAGGTGAAGCCTCTGTTATAGTAAGCCAAAGCTCACTTCTACTGAACCAGTTTAGCGCCTACAGCTCTAATCCAAACACCACTCAAAAGCACAATAAACCCTGGCACTGACTGAGAGTGTTCTTGGGCTGGAAGATCTCTTTGTAATCCTCTGGGTTCTGGATCTCAGCCTTTGATTCCTTCTCATCCCGGTCATCTTCACTGCTGGAACTGCGCCTCTCACTCTCCGAGATGTGCTTCACTCTGCTGTGGAAAAAGAGATGCTGTCAGGGCACGTCATATGGACTCTGTCAGAGAGAGCGAGAGCACTAAGCTCCTTATACATTTCCTTGAATTTCAAGATTTTAAGAAGCCAGCGGATTCCCTTACCTTTGTGGCTTGTTGCAGCTAGTTGAGGGCCTGTCATAGATGTGGCGAAGGGAGGACCCAGTGGGGGTAGGTGGCACAAGAGGCTTGTTGTCCCTGATCAGCCCATGAGGAACAGAATCCGACTTGGTGACTCTGCTGAGATCCACAACGAAGGAAGACACTATGCTTTTGGCAAAGGAAACTCCGATCTGCAGAGGCAAAAGATCACAGTAACTCACCAGGGAGCAGGGTGCACACCAGCCTTTTTGAGAACATGCAGTGACCCTGAGCAACTGTGCTTGAGAATTTTTCAGTTCAGTACTTTGGTTTTTTCTGTTTGAAGCTGCCAATGTTTTATGAAAGGCTACGATAAAATTTTTGCCAAGCACAGCTTCCAAATTCTGGTCAAACCAAGCCCCATTTCTTTCTGCTTCTCCAGAAGCCAAAGAGAGACAAAGTGGAGCACACAAAGCACACAATCTGAAAGCAAAAGCACACAATCTTTGTCTAACTGCTGGGCGCATTGCAAGCCCTGGCCACTTAAGAGTCTGGCATAAGCTTAAAGGTCAGAAGGCCTGCAAGGAGGCAGGAGGATTTTATCTCGTGTTTCACAGCCACCTCCCTCAGCTCCTCAGGAGCAGTGGCTTACCAGCTGGTTGTTGCAGATAGACAAGTCAGCTACTTTTCCCCAGTTCACCAAGACCACATCAAAGCAGCGCTCTGGCTCCCAGCCATACACACGCAGTGAATCCTGGAAGCCACCATACAAGCAGCAGCCATCTGGGTCGAAGAGCACACACCTGGGAGGAAGGCAGGTGGAGCATTAGGCATTAGCTTTGCAACCTTGCTCAGTCCCACAAGGAGCCCAGGGCTGCATCCCTGACTTCAATGAACACCTCCAGCCCCATTTCTAACAATGAACTCACTGATCTGATGTTCATCTGTGCAACCTGGTGGGTCTGCGCAACATCTCCAGCAGCCCAAACTTCTCCCCAGTAAAGTCTCTCTTTCAGGAAATCCTCCCTTCACCCCCACTTTAGTCTCTGCCTCGTACACTGCAGTAGGAATTCAATATACCTGACAGGAGTAGCCTCCCCTTCAATACAGCTCACAACTTGAAACTTCTCCAAGTCCCAGAACCGAACAGTCCTGTACACACAACAGAACAAAAATCATGGCTCATCCCTCCAGAAATATGCTGCAGGATCCAGAATGGAAATAATACGCTAATAGCTGGAATGACTTTTGCTGTTGCGCACATAAGATGGACCTACACAGAAGGTTAGCCTAACTGAGATCCCTGAATGCAGCCACAGATGCTTACAGGCTTTAGATAGGGATAGGTACTTAGAGGTGACCCAGAGCAAAGAGGACACCCTGCTAGCTGAGCAGGACTGTTTGCTGCTCAGACAGGACCTCAGCTCGATTAGTGAGATGCTTGAGGCTACCGCACTGTTTTCTAGTGTGCTAGAAGGTGCCATCAATTCTGGATGAGAAGGCAAGATCTCCATCACAGATGTGACGTGCTGCTGGCTAGATGTCAGGCTCTTGCAATGGCAGGTTTGAGCAGTGTGACATTCCCATTTCCCATGTTCCTAAAAGCAAGAGCATGGCGAAAGGGAACCAACATATCCCATTCCCCTCTTTCTCCTTCCCCTTATGTACCTGTCAGAGCTGCCAGAAGCCAAAAGATATTCACTGGGATGGAATTCAACAATGTTTACCGGGCCAGTATGTCCTGCAAACTCAAATATTATCTTCCCAGCAGCCAGATCCCATAGCTGGAAGAAGGAAAGAACAGAGAGACTCTTGAAAAGATCTAATGTTAGAGAATTCCAATACAATTTGGATTTCCTTGTACTGGCAACCTTCTGATGCTGCTCCTCCTCCAAGACCAGACTCAAGTTTGTCAAAGAAAGCAATGATCAGGGAAGGAGTACCATCCCAATCCTTTAAGGATGCATTTTTAATTTATTTTTTTTTCCTTTTTTTTTTTGGCATTCTCTTTTAAGTTTTCCATTTAATTGGTCTCCTAGAAGTTTCTGGTTTGTATTTAGAGACTGGGATAAAATACAGCAGTTCCACCCGTCCCCACAGATTAGATCTCAAAAGCAAACAACCAAAACTCCAAAAGCTCTGAATCCCTTTGCAATTAATTCCTCCTGTGCTCTAGTCTCCACTGAAAAATTCAGAGTGAAATGACTGATCAGTTTAGTTCATGTGAAGCTGAAAACAAAAATCAGTCCTTCACCCACATCCTTCCATACCACATCTAAAACAACTGAAGTCACTGCTTCAGTCGATACTTTTCTGAATTCCTTCTCTTGCTCTGCTCAGTCCTGACAGCAATTTTCAGACTGATAATCCTATGCAATGCGTATGATAACACACTCCTACTGAATTAACTGAGCAGCGCTAGAAATTGGCATGGTGAAGCAACGTGCTATGGACAACTCATTCTGCAACGTTTACTAAGATGACTGAGGCCAATGTTCAGGTCTCACAACTCCACCACCACCAAAACTTGATCTTTCACGTGCATAGTGCCAATGTGCCTGTTGGATAAGTGCATTCCAACACATGCCTCTTCTGTATGTTCTGGGCCGCTGGACATGATCCTCACAAACAGATAGGCCCCTGCAAAGCCACGGGGCTCAGCCAGCTGCCTAACAAACTAAAGGTGTTTATAAGCGAGTGCTGGTAACGATCCCAGCATTCCTATGTGCCACGAGCACAGAAAGAGGGTGTCACAAGAAATTACCTTTACAGTGTGATCATCAGCAGCAGAGGCTAACCATTTCCCATCAGGGCTAAAGCGGAGACATCGAACTGCTTCTGTGTGATCCTGAAACGAGAAAAACAGATAGTATTTTCTCCCCTCCACCTTTCTTTAGAGGGAATTCTAGCTTTCCTCTTTCAATCCTATACAATATAATAAAATAAAATCAAGTAACTGCTTCACAGACTCCACAGCTCAAAGAACACTAAACACTACACTGAAGAGCTACACCCATCCACAATAAATGCGTGTAATCTAGACAGTTCCGGCATCAGTTTAAGTACAGTAAATACAGATCTGGCTTAATTAATAAGAATCAATTTTAAATTAGACAGATTTACGGGGGGTCAGATAGAAGTGCTGTGCCACTAAGTTGGTTTCTAAATGAAATTAAGATACAGCAAGTTCTTTGGTTAGAAAAAGGCCCCTAGAATAGAACCATCTCAGTGCCATGGGGAGTTGCACGGTAACATCAGTCACAGTATAAAGAAACACTCATGGATGCTCTCTATCCCCCACTGAAGCCAACCAGACTATAGTACACTAACTCCTATGATATCCATTTCATATTCCCATACAGTTCACAAAGGCCTGCAGAGGTTTGCCAGGCCACTCCACAAATTGTGCAGATCTTATTTTCATACTGGAAAACTGGGAAGTTAATTGTACGTAATCGCTTTAAGGTTTGCTCACAGGTCCTCAACAGAAATCTTTCTCCCCTCTTTGCCTGAAAGCTAATGAAGCATTTTACCTTGTACCTGAAGACACAGCCTTTTCTTCTTACATCCCAGAGCTACAGGGAAGAAAAGCAAACAGAAGATATGCTTAGAGCAGTATGTGGGGAACCCCAAAGTGCCATCAGAAGAAGAGCTCTCCCTGCCACCGAGCTGACAGACGCTGCAGGAATGAAAACTGATTGAACTCCTATCTCCTAACCTAATTCCCCAAGTGAGAATCACTTCTGTAAGTTAATTCTTACTACAGCAGCTCAGTTCCTACAGTCAAATACCAGCCGGATGAAGCAGATGCAATCCACAGCAATCAGAACGTCCGCACTTGCGGACACCAGGTCTCAGCTGGCACCTTATTCGGAGCCACATTCCACAACAGAGGAGTCACACTCATGAGCTACCGCTGGGAAAATACATACACGAATTTCACAAGCACTCACAAATACACCTGCCCACACACAGGGAAATGAAGATGCACAGCATCTACCAACACACATTCTGGCACTTTTCAAAACAAAGATACCACAAGTAAAGAGGGCAATCTCTAGAGGAAGCTGGGTTTTACCTTAATGTTTGCGTCCAAAGAGCCAGATGCCACAAAGTTTCCAAAAGGATGGAAATCAAGGCTGCAGATACTTGCTTTATGACCAAGTAAGGTACGAAGAACTGGGAAAAGCAGGAGAAGCAGAGCAGAGAGAAGAAATAGGGAACAAATATTCAGTAGTTCATTTCCCCCAGACACCATGCAGAAGTTTAGCATGTGCTTAATGGTGAGGATCGTATGGCTAACACAACATACATTGGACAGGGTACATATTGTTTATTCATCTCTATACGTTATTTCATGGCAATGTTTCTGACTTTATCCTTGCAATGCAAAGAAACAGCAACAGAGGGCCCATGTTCAATGATCCTAATGAAAGTCCTGTCCTTAGGTGTGGAAACGATGACTAAGACTCCAAAGGTTTCCATTCTGAAAATAAAACTAAAAAGCCACACTGAGGTAGCTGTCCACTTGTTACAGAGAGCAAAATCAGCAGGGGGGAGAAAAACAGTTTTAGTCAGGAAGCGAAAGGGCCATTTGATTGCCCGCATTGTTCACTTGCAGCTATTAGACGGACCCTTTCCCAGGACTCTGCACCCTCATCCAGGTGCAAGTCTGACTTCCACCTCTTAGGTTCCAGTATTGACCTTGGACTCCTTCAATTGCCCCTTGCAAGAAGCATCCCAAAGACCGGGAAAGGATGCTTAGGACGCATGAGACAACGAAATGATCGCAGTGTTTCAGCAAGTCATCAACAAAGCAACACCCCTTGCAATTCTGGAAACCAGAAAGGACCAGTAGAACGGGCACACCATATCTCTGAAAGCAGAGACGAATGTAGAACTCAGCTTCAAGGAAGAAAAATTACTCAGATAATAACAAGGGCACACTCTCTCCATCGTCCATCATCTGGAACAACCTGATAATTCCCCTGGCAGAAATTAGCTCTTGAGCCAGACCTGGAGTGGTCATTTACACAGACATTGGCTCATAGGTCTCCTAATAAATTCAGCCAGATCAGTTACTCTGCTTTGGTAGAGCCAAACTATTTTACAACTGAACTGTCTGAATGACATAAGTGCTTTCTATTATTTATGCCATCTGCTGTTTGCCTTCTTAGCTCAGTCAGTGTAAGTGTATTTTCATTACACATTCTTTCTACGAACAAGTAGCAACCTATAAGAAATATTCAGTCATTTGATGGTATTCCTGCTTGAATGCACTCAAGTGATTCATGATACCTTTTCAAACTTGCTCTAGGATTTGAGAAAAATGCAATAAATAAAGCATGACTCAACAGTTGGCCTTTAAAGGATCAGAGCTCGACGAGTTCATAGCTTTTAGGATTTACTAAAAATTAGGTTTTGTCTATTTATATGGCCATGCAAGAGCAGCCGAGGAGTGTCCTCATTTAAGCTGGGCTAGAGTTAATTTTCTTCCTAGCAGCTGGTACAGCACTGTGTTTTGGATTTAGTATAAGAATAGTGTTGATAATGCACTGATGTTTTCAGTTGTTGCTAAGTAGCGTTTATACTAAGTCAAGGATTTTTTCAGCTTCTCATGCCCAGCCAGCCAGAAGGCTGGAGGGGCAAAACAAGTTGGGAGGGGACACAGCCAGGACAGCTGACCAAACTGGCCAAAGGGATATTCCATACCATACGATGTCACGCCCAGTATATAAACTGGGGGGAGTTGGCCGGAAGGGGCAGATTGCTGCTTGGGAACTAACTGGGCATCAGTCAGTGAGTGGTGAGCGTTGTGCATCACTTGTTTTGCATATTCTAATTCTTTTATTATTACTATTGTAACTTCATTCTCGTCATCATTATTATTAGTTTCTTCCTTTCTGTCCTATTAAGCTGTCTTTATCTCAACCCATAAGTTTTACTCTTTTTTTTTGATTCTTTGCCCTATCCCACCGGGGGCAGGGGAGGGGGGGGCAGGGAGTGAGCAAGTGGCTTCGTGGTGCTTAGCTGCCAGCTGGGGTTAAACCACAACAAGGAGAAAAATCACTTGAGGGGAAAAAAAGTAAAAAGTTAGAACCTAAGAATGAGAACAAGAGGTCAGCAAGCAGGGGATTCCTGGGCTTGTGCAGAATCTAATATACTTAACTTCCAATCTGATTTTGGATCCTTTTATTAAGGCTGACAATTTTAAGCTGAGATTCTGCATATAAATTCTATATGCCTAGTTACCCTCGAGATGCATGGAAACTGATCTGGAATATAGATTTCAACACACTCCGGTCAAACCCTAGAAACTAGTTCCTCAGATCAGTCTCCACAACACATGTACAAATTTCTGCTTGAGCATCCATACACAGCTCTACAGTCTCAGCAGAAAGGGCACAAATGCCCTCTAAGAGGGCTGGAAATTAAAATGAAAGCTTCTGTATCTTCTTAAGTTAGGAACCGTCTGGGTCAGCATAGATACTAAGCATAAGGATATCCCAAAAAGCCTGCATTAACAGAAGAGAAAACTCACGGAAACATACTTTTGGCAGCTTCCAGGTCCCAAACTCTAATGGACCCTGACTGGCACCCTGCAACAATGAGTTCCTCGCTCATATTCATCTGTAGGCTCTCAATGGGCGTTGTATGGTCTGTCAAGCTCTGCAAAGGAAACCACGAGTTGTACTCAACAGCTACAGACACAGCCCTGTCCACAGTGGCGCTGTTCATACTCCCTTGGTAACTAAAGTATTTAGCCATGAGCTGGGACCACCCGGTTGTGCCACTGGACTATTGCCTCATCAGCTACCAGTGTGGTAGAGCACCCTAAGGACCATCACTGCATACAGCACCGTGCACGTATCTTCGATGTTAGCCCACTTTCTGGGGCACACTGACTAATTTTTAAAGGATGCATCAACAGAGACATGATTAGTTAAACATTAGGCACAGATGCCCAGACAAGGCTGACACATGCTTACATTATAAAAATTATGCTGTGCAAGCGCAACAGCACCAGGTTTGCTCTAAATGGGTCTAATAAGTGTCATGAACTGGTTACAAAACTCAAAGCAAGAGCAAAAGCAGGGCTATTTCAAAACTTTCACATAAGCAAGGAGCCGTATGTTGCTGCCAGCAGTGGCTGTCACAGTGATAACATGGTGCTATTACCGAAGTATTAACTTGAGGCATAAGGTAGTAATTCACACGTATGCAGTTCCTTTCATCCTTGAGCATCTAAAAGCTTACAAATTACATAAGTATTTTCAAAAGGCCAGTATTTAATTCAAACACAAGAATATTTAAAACTAGCTCTAGAAAACCAATACCACTATTGCAAACCTTTTGCTTGTCAGTTAAGCAATATTCTATGCTTTTCTCCCTCCTCAAACAGGTCTTTTTAAATAGCTAAGCTAGCTCTGTGCCTCCCACACACGTACAGAGGCTGGGAATGCCAGCTGAAAGCTGCCTCTTCTGATGGGGCTTTCTTAGGATTTCATGTGCAACTGTCACTGCTTAGTGAGAAACAGAGCTCAAACTTGAAGCGAGTCACAAGGCTACTTGAAAAGTTCCTCTTCTCCCTCTTCCCCAACACGTAAACATCTGGAATGCTAACAATATAAACACTAAAGATGAATTTTGGAGGACAAAATATACAGCACAATCCTAAAAAAAAAAAAATATAAATCAAGATTCTTTTGATAAACAAGAATGGCATAAGTCCTCAGCAGCTCCAGTCGGTCCCTGCCTCTCAGAAACACCAGCTTCTAATGTCAGTCGTTCCCAGGAAACGCAGGAGAGGTACAGCTCTCTGCTCTCAGAGAAAGGGTACAGAGATACTTAGCCCTTCAACTTCTTCTCATGGAAGGCAATACTCTGGTTTCAAACTGTCATGCCACCACCAAGGGCCTCGAAAGACACAGCTTAACCATGCCGTACAAGAAGCACAGCCCTGCCAAAGGTGAGCAATTCCTTTTACACCCAGCAAATGAATGAAAAAGTAGACACATTCTCCTTCTAGCCTTTTTGATCCTACTTTCCCAATTTCTTCCTCACAAGGTTCACACTGGCTAGAGAAATGCCTTCCATAACACAACATTATTGTGGTGTTAATTAAACAAGTGACAAAGGACACTAGCTAAAGTTGTTTTTCCGTAACACTCGCTCAAAGCAAAAGCAATGCAGGAGAGATCTGTTACACATGTTTATGATACACTTTAGTGATCACTGCAGGGGTAACCCTACTCTTTCTAACGTGCTGCACCCAGCATTACTCTTCCCCAGCCTACAGGCCAGTTAGCAAACTATTCTGACAAACTTTGTGTTGACAGTTAGGGACTGCAGGACAAGTGGGAACGCATCCTGCTGGGGATGTTTCCTGCTATCGGGGCAAACTCCAGGGTATAAAACTGGCCCCTGTAGCTTGCACTATAAAACTAGCTGATCTCGTACCAAACTCTGCATTTAATTATCTGTAGTCTGGTAACAGAAAGCACAATTTTCATTATCTGAGCAAGCACTGGCCCACCTGAAGCAGGCAGCCATCCCAAATTCTCTCTAGAGCAGTGGTCTCACCACTTACCAAATTCTGACCTTATCTTTAGCTAGAATCCGGTCTCACCCAGCTTTGTGTTGGTAAACTCTATTCGTAAGTCCCACAGGCTACAACCCAACAATCTTTCCCCTCATCCCCCACCCTCCATACCTCAGAACTAACATTCCCATCCCCCCAAAGTTGAAAACAGGCCTGTTCTTACCATGATGCAGTTGGGCTTGTTAACTGACCATATGTTGACCCGACAGTCATCTCCTCCAGTTGCCAGCAGCCGGCCCGAATTTTTTCCCAGGACTAGTGAGGATACATTGCTGCTGTGAGCCACAATCTCTTCTGCACAAAAGAAAGCAAGCAGTTATTACAGACTAGTATAACAATTTTCATCCTATCCCTCCCAAAGGACTAAAAAAAAATTATTATTCCTCCATAAAAACTTTCCAGTTTCCAGTGGACAAGCTGCAGCAGCGCGTTGTTCAGATAAGAAGTCACACTATTACCTTGCTTAAAACAGTCCCTCTTGGCTCTGCCTGCTGTACTTAAGACATTTGCTGACCAAGCTTCACACCTCCAGTGCTCATGTCGCTTACAAAAAGCATCTTCTCTCACTAGCAGCAGCTCAGTAGCTGTTAAAGACATGCTAAATTGTGGCAAGCTGCTCACAGAAGCTGCTTTACCTTTGGTACCCAGGTGGGTCTCAATAAACTGAGCTGTCTGAGAAGCTGCACTCATTTGCAGCAGCCAGAGTCATCTAGCAAAAGGCCATCGAATTCCGTTCCAGAAAGCAGCAGCAGACTGTCCAACCTGCGAGCAACTGGCAGATTGGCAGCAGTACAGTTTGTTACCTTACACAGGAAAAAAAAGTCAGACTCGGCAGCGGGGATAGGTGGAGCTCCCTTCTCCGAGTTTTGGCAAAGGCTTCGCTATGCTCCCACTATGTAACACAGGTGAAACTTAGCAATGCAAAGTGTGAAACTGGGACAAAGGAAGGTTGAATATATATCTGAAAGGGCATAAAAAGAATAAATGCCATTGATACTAAAAGGCTGTTAAAAAACCGGGGGCTGAGGGGAAGCTCTGACAGAGGGCTTTGCAATGACAGAACTCCATGGAAGCCTCATCGTAAAGAAACAAGTTTGGGGCAAAAGAGAATCCAAGCGAGCATCTTTGCTTAGACATCTAGTTTTCACAGTGGATTTTTAAAAGCAGCAGATTCTTAGTTTCTCTTGCAAAGCAATTTCAAGTGAATGAGACACACGGGCCCTGCAAAGATCACCTCATCCCTCCTGCAGCAAAGAGCTGCGTGCACCCTCTGTAACAAGTGAGCAGCGACCAGGGACAACCCCAAATGGGCTACCTTGACCACTCCCTGCTGCAGCCTGGGCTCTGAAGGGGGGTTTCCATCACTCCCTTGGTTGTTCTTGTACTACATTAGAGTCACGGGGGGTTAGCTAGACTTTTAGGATAGCATTAGAGCAACTACCAGGCCGTGACCTTATAAAAATAGCAATGACAAGGCCCTACGCTATTTCACTATGCTGCTAAGTTTTCCAAAAGGATTTCCAGGAGTTAAAAATTCCAGTCAGCAACTTGGAAAGAGGGCCGAGGCACCCACCCCCAAGGCAGGGATTAGCCGGGTCCTATCGCAAACCGCCTCTTCCATCCCTCCTGCCAGCTGGGGAAACTCCTCCGCCTTCCCTCGGGAGAGC